TATTACTATAATAACAGTATCTTTTTAAGTTTTTCAATATCTCTTGAATAAGCACTATATACGATGCCGAAACCTCCTCTACCAATTACTTTCCGATCCTGAAAAGATCCATATTCAAATAATGTAATATATTTGTGTTCAATAGCAATTTTAAACCAATTTGACATCTTTAGTATACGTATCGATATTAATATCAGTTTTTTTGTATTTAAGATAATTAAGTTATGGGCATATAGCATATCCACCAATTTGATTTTTTATAATAAATACTAGTACAAAATCAAGTAAAAACGTGATAATCAAGTACTTGATTAAGCTGAGCGTCTAGTACATAGTGATAGTAACGGTAAATCGGATTTTAAATCTTTTAGTAAATCTAGCAGCAATTCGTTAATCAAGTATGTACGTACGTACGTACTTGATTATCAAGTTTTTACTTGATTTTGTTGAGCACCAATAAATACATAATACTTTTATTTTTTGTAATAATATAGTAATAACTTTTGATATATATTGATCTGTTTTAAATAATTTTATTACCAAAATGTTTGTCATAATGAACCCAAAATCATCCAAATTTAATTAAAGGATCTTGAGATATCTGATTTTCATGTGTCAAATAGCGATGCATCTTCCAATGTGGAACGATTGGTTTGGACAAATCGGCGGAATCGGACCTTTTTTAGACCCTTAAATATTCAAACAAATAGCTTTCGGTTAAATAGGCCATTTGATTAAATGTTATACACTGTTTTAAATTATGTTATTTTATTAGTGATTCCGTAAATCTCCCATATGGGTAATAGACTACGTAGGAAAACCAACTTTCGGCACTGTTTGGCTGATTCTAGGATTTCAATTCAAATTGTTCTTATTTATATAAAGCATATATTTTATTTTTATATTAGCTTAATAAAATATTGAGATTTTTAAATATGAAAAGTCAATTCTTCGAAGACATAGTGCTCTAACAACCAATCGGAAGATAACTTGGTGAATTAAATTCAAACATACGACCTTGTTCGCATAAAAATTTATAACAATGTCTATAAATAAGTTGGATTGAAATTTCGTGTAATGCAAACATTAATCACATTTTTTTAAAACTCAAACTATCTGTCGAAGACTGGTTTCCTTCCTAGTTCAATCCCGATATGAGTCTATGTCTATCCTATGTCTAACCAATCATTCCACAATATAAGGTGTGTCATTATTTGACACGTGAATATCTCATGATTCTATAATTATCTTAGAATTGTCTCGTTATAAAATTATTTAAAATAGACCAATAGATCAAAAGTATTACCGTACAACGCGGACCACGGTACCCCCGTGTAAAGTACCGTAAAACGCCGTATAAGGTACCCGGGTATCTTACAATTCACATGATAAAAATTTGATTTGTACCCCCCGGGTACCTTGTATGGAGGAGGGTATATTATATGGGGGGTATCTTGTGAAAAACATATATTAGCCCATTAGTAAAAAAAGATTTTCATTATTAAATCGATCCTTGATTTATACCCGGGTCTCTTACAAAACACCACAACAAATAACCTTGAAACATACCCGGTACAAATCAAGGGGGGTACAAATCAAGGGGGGTACAAATCAAGGGGGGTACAAATCAAGGGGGGTACAAATCAAGGGGGTACCTTATACGGCGTTTTACGGTAACCCTAACCCTATTAAAAAATTTCATGGTGGAATGTAAAATACCCGGGTGGATATATCCTATGTAAAAAAAGCTTTTCATATGAAAATCGCGGTATTAGTAATAATAATATCCGATCCGTTGGGAATTAATGGAAACGAAGTTTCCGTTTATTCACATACGGTCAGGGTATTATTAATTAATCCTCCCGTGATCTTGATATAGTGATCGGGGGATTATAAATTATTTTATAATGCTAGGGTATTGTGACCAGTGTAACATAAAGATAATGAAATTAGTTATATCTTAAAATTTTAACTAAAAAAACGTCTTTTGTGTTCTAATAAAAGAAATTCCTTGTAAAATTTTAGTATAAACTATATCCTGCTTAACCTTAATCTCAGCTTCAATCTCTAATTAAAGGTTTTATTTTTTGTAAAGACAAGATTGTTTTGACTTACGTGTTACACCAATTTTGTATTTACATATGGGTTAGCACTACAGCACTATAAAAATATTCACTAAAAAAATAAAAAATACGAATCTAATTGTAGCATGATGTTACACGCCTTATTTCTAACATCTGCTTAGTATAGCCCGAACCCTACATTTTTTCTAAAAATTTATAAAAAATCAACCCAGTGGATATGGTAGTACAGTAATATAAATTAGGCACAAACGATAACAACTAAAACGCGAAAAAATAACCAGGTTCTACCATTTAAATTTCCCGTATCTTCTGCTTCCAAAAGTATATCAGGTATCGTGAACCACCATAAAAAATGCAGCACACTGAGGAATGTACACAGCCTTAGACTATCGCGGATCAATTCCGACAAGTTTTAATTTATCTCTTTTCAAATATTTCAAATAATTATGTGAATAGATTTAAAAAAATTGTTTTATGGGCGATATAATATTTACAAAACCCAAAGGAATACACTTATTTAAATCAAAAGACGCACTGGTCTCCAGTAAAATTAATAATACGCAAGAAAATTTTATAAATTTTAAATTACATTTTTTGAAAACGAAACAAGGTTCACTTATTACGTCAAAATAATAGGTTTTAAGTCGCAAAATTTCATCAGATATAAAGCGATTAGTACTTCTAATAATTACATATAACTACAACATTATCAATTAGCTATACATTAAAACAAAATTGGGAATGGGTTAAACCCGGATAGTTATCTATTCTATCAATTATCAATTTAAAAAATTACTTAAATGAGCTCTATATTAAAGAATTCTCCGATGTTAATTTCACTTACCTCAGATCAATTTATTAACTAATTACTGACTGTTTAAATTCATTTAAGTAGAAATCGAATTCTTTAACTGAATGAATTTGAAATTTGGTTGTAAATGTATACATAAAAATTCTATTGCATTTCAATGTACAATACATTCATTTTAAGGACGTTCAATTATAATAAGAGCATCCTCATCATCATCGTCATTGTCATCCAAAACAATTGGATATTCCTTAGTC